ACTCTTGGGCACAGTCACACATTCCTCCATGGCCTTTTTACCCATTTGAGTCACAACCAATTGCCCTAGACTTGCTAACGCCTTCTCGGACAAGTCTTTTACCAACATTAGGCTTAGGAGTGTCTGCACTGCCCCGTTTGTGACCAACGGTGCTATGTTTTCCAACACGAGGCAGAGGTTGTTTATGGTGGCTAGACATATCTCTTTGCACTTCATGTCTGTCGAATCTGAGTTCAACGTGTCCATCAAGAACGGTAGAATTTGTGATGAAGCTACCGGCAACTGTATGTTTGTTAGAGACGACAATGATAGGATAAGCTCCGCGAAGCCATGTCTTGTTAACTGGTCGAGAAGTTCGACATTTTTGGGTAGCTTTGAGCATATTCCGGCATTTGCCATCAGCGCCTTGTTCCTGAAGTAAGAGAAAAATAAATAAGACTTTAAATTTTCTTGTGATTTTTCAACGATATATTTCACACATATTCTGATTTCTCCTCTTTAATATGTTACCCTAGAACATAATCTAAACAAAATTTATACCTTTAAACTGATTTATATAATTGAGTATTAATTTCAAAAGAAGTATTACAATCACTTGTGAAGCAAAAAAAGAGCTAGAGATCTTGACAGATATATGAACTTATACGTATGGCATCCTATTGTATTTCATTATACTAGTTAGTTTAGTTACACACGTATGTAGATTAGCCAGACGTCAGTGGAATATGACCGTCGACTTTTCTAAGATCTAATTGGTCAGAAATATTAATGGCCATTTGGAGATGTACTAATGGCTGTCAACTAACGTGATTTGTGTCTCGACTCTTCCGAGTTCCGACGCACTAGGAATTAATATTCTTAATTTTCTTTTAATACTGTAATAAATTAGCCTTCATTATTGGACTAGTAATGTCACATTTATTAAATGTTCGTTTGTTAATAAGAAACAAATTGGAATACTAGCCAGTATCTATAATGGAGTTAGTGGATAGCCAACGATGCTCTCCAAACTCATTTGTCTACGTTCTTTGTATTTTCCTAAGATATATATGTACGTATATTATATATATATACTAATAAGAAACACGAAAATCAGATGCAAATAAGCCTTTTCTATTAAAAAAAAAAAAATCAGATGCAAATAATTATCAACAAAAAGTCATTTTCAGAACTAAACATGACTTATATTATGCACGAGCATAATTCTAATCAAGTACTCTTACATATCTAAAAGTATGTTGTGATAATGTGACATTTATTAACACTCAATCCGAGAAAAAGAAAGGCACGTGAGGGAAACGTCGTGCATACTTTAAGAGCCAAATAAAATGCCATGTGAGGGATCATTACTATTTATGTTATAATCATAATTATTTACAGTATTTCATAAATCTTAAAATTCGAAAGTTTAACAAAGATTAGTATTGGTTGACCAAATGAAGATGAACATTTAGCGAACGAAGACAATTAGGCGTAATAGCACCTTAGTCAAAAGAAGTTAGATGATTTTGTCAACCCGTGACATATATATCGAAAATGCCTTTTATATATGTCTGAAATTATTTATTTCTCTATTTTTCAACAATTAGAATCTTCTATATCAAAGATGAACAAAAAAACGACACTATATGTATTGACTGATGTTGTAACTAGGCAACTTTGGCAAAAAGTTAAGCATGGCATGGCAAATTACCCGGAATCAAAAACTGAACCGTACCAACCGATCTGAACCGAAATAGATATCACCAAAATTTAAATGCGTTCATTCTACCTTAAAACATCTAAACTATTAAAAGGGAAGTACAAATATAATATACTCCTTAGTTTTCCACAAAAATTACAACTTTATGCCACTGAAGTTACAACACAGTAGTTTTGATTAATCTCTAATTATTCTTTCGTTGGGCTGCTGTAAGTTTGTTTTTGCCAGCCCATAAAGAAGAATTTCGACTACCTGTTAAATAATATAATTATAAACAAATGCATAGTTTATATGTATTACATGTATACTTATAGATATTAGTATTCAAATAAAATAAAAATCAAGTTTAAAAACATGATAAAGTTTTAAAATCTATTTTCTTTATTTTTTAGATTTCATATAAAAATATATAATAGACAATTTAAATCATTTTTGTAATAATTTAGAGTTACAGCATAAAATTCAATATACAATAACATTAAAATTAATAAGTGTTTAAATATAATGTAAATTTTAAATTTAAAAAAAAAAATGAATCACCTGAAACTGAATAAACCGAACCTGAACCAAACTCTAAATCTAAATGTCATGCGTAGTTGTAACCACTAGACACTAACTATGAACATCTTCAAATTCATATATAGCCAAATACGTAAATCCAGTATTTTAAGTCACCAATCGATAAAGGTAAAAATGCAACTTGGTTGAAAATTCAAAGCATATAACGTCTAATCTAAATCATTATATATGAAGACACAAGAGGATAATTTGATAATTACCAAACACACAAGAAAGCGGAAATATTTGATTAATTACATTATCTTTCTTGAGTTCACCTAAATTAGCAATTACTTAAAGCCAAGTATCAACATTATAAAACACACAACGATGGTGATATCAAAGATGACATGCATCGACTTATATGAATTTCGACTCATTAGTGAAATAATTTTATTAAAGAACAACAAAAAAAAAAAAAAGAACTTACGTGTAGGTTCCATGAGAAAGCTGAATAAGAGCCCTAACGGCAGCTATCTGCTGACCAGCGATATCAGAACCGACCATAGAAACAAGAACCTGAAGAACACCGAGCTCAGCCATGAGTTTCCTAGTATTCTTGTCTTCTCTCGCAAGTTTCTCAATCTCGATGGCAGCTTTCTCCTTCTCCTCCCAACTTCCAAAATGAAGCTTCTTCACAGTTCTCTGCAAGACAACCTCCTCGTTCTCATCTTCGGGTGGTTTAGATATTGTTTCTGGAGGCGCAACAACATTCTCTGATGAATCCTGTTGGGCTCTTGGTACCTCAGGTGAGCTTTGAAAGTTGCGTTTGCGGGAGGATGCTTTGGATTTCAAAAGGGAACGAATCCTAGTGAAAAAGCGGAGCTTCATGTATTGTAGTTGCCAAACTGAAGAAGAAGATGAGGAAGAGGATTGTGTTCGAGAGGAAGACATGATAGATAGATGATGTGATGCTCTGTTCCTTTTAGTGGACTTTGCTGTGTCTTTTATATATGTTGATATTTGTCCAACTTTAGGTATTTATGGGGACAATATGGTATATGCCTAATCCCGGTGAGATTTTAGAAAAGTATTATTAAAAAAAAAACAAGTGATGTAAGTTTTGCACTACATCATCTTAGCAGAGATTTTTTTTTTTTTTGTATTACATAAATAACAATGTATACATAGCTCATGTGTCCTACAAATTAGGCCACAACAAAATAAAGTTTTTATCACATGCATTAATTTGATTAAGCGGAAAAAGTAAATGCAGGATCGAACCATATAGGAACATAGTGATGATATGAGCAAAACAAATTTCGCTTTGATCCTCTCTAAGAGATCCGACTTGGCCTAATTTTCTTTTATTTTAAATGAATAATGTAGCAGCCATGAGATGTTTTCTTTTTAACATCCACCTTATTAGTAGCAACGATTTATTATATGCAATAGCATTAAAATTTGTATTACATTCATGACAGATGACTCCAAAAGTTTCTGAAACTGTACTTCCCATTTGTTCACTTTATGCATAATATTCTATACATGATATGATTTTTTTGGACATAATAATATGATTATTAACGATTTTATTTATAGTCGATCGTGTGTCGACAAATGTTTTGGATGCAAAACGCAAACGCTAGATCATCGTCTGACTAAACACATCCATCACTTTAAATATTGTAAAGAGCTTTAGTTTTCAACGAAAGATTCGAAAAAAATGAATTATAATAACGACCAGAGATTCGATCCAGAACAAATGGGTTTAACAACTAATTTCTATCAAAACTATTACAATAATTTGGATTAAATTAAGTAAAGACGGAATATTATGGAAGAGAGGAAGGGGGACAAGGGCGGAGACAGCATAGTGCACATGCACAAGAACAGTTTTGTCTCTTCTAAATCTCACCCTCAAGTTACAGCACAGATCAACGTTTTAGCTTCATTGAAAAACTAAAACTAATTTTAATTTCTCTTTGTATCGTTAATTAAACACGTTCATGCGTGTCAGATCCAGCTTAACCTCGTTACGACCAAAGATAGCCACTCTTCTTGTTTAGAAAACCGCATTCATAAACCTCACAACTTAGAAAATAGTCTAAAAGTTTTTTTTTTGAGAAAGGGCCTAAATAGTCTAAAGTTAGGCGAAAACAAATATCAAGCAACCATAAAGTTCAATTGGATGACCATAAACTAGTCTACTTTCAGGAAACAATTCTCAGTTACCTTTATCTGTTTCATCCGAAAAAGTAAGGCTTATGGCAATCAGCCTACTTTAAAAGATTTTCAGTTTTCGGTTTTTCATAACCAGATAATTTTTTGGTCGAAAGTCAACTCGGGCTGAAGACTAGACTGGTCAATGTTTCTTTTCATAAATTTGACTTTTCAAGTATGTGAATCGGGCCTAATCTATAATTTCAGCTATCTGGACTATTGAACCACCACTATTAGTTTCCATTCCTTTAGTTGCAATTTGTTTCAGAAAAATATTGAACGGACGGTTTAGTTCCTCTATCCAAACCCAAGAAAAGGTTTTGACAATTTAATAATTTATTATAGGGAAATTGCTATCTATGCATGGCGCTTGTAGGGTTTGAAGTTGTCAACAAGATGACTTACCTTAACCCTTAGCGCCAAACATGTCTAAGGTCAGTATTATTGCACCACTTCATATTTGCATTACTGCCCTTCAAGAGTTTTTATTTGTAACTGATACCGAATGCATCTTTCTTTCCTAATCATCAAACCAGGCCTGTTTTGGTTTTACTGTAGATGGTAAATCCTCTAACAGCGTTGATGTATGCGGTCCAAGTGATGAAGTGCTGAATAACCTCACAGAGAAAACGCTCAGAGAGAGGAATATGACGTCTTCCTTTTTCATTTGACACTTACATTATTCGTTAAGTAAACGACAAACACAAATGATTCATGTACTCTGTTCATGAAAGAGCCACAACAGATTTTGGGCTGTATTTATTTTTTGAGTTGCCAATATCAAGCCAGTAATATTAGTGACAGATTTTTTCCCCAGTGTCATCTTAAAGCAACTCAAACAGGTAACAAGAAATCTTTCAACATCAAAAGCTTTCAAAGGTTACCGTCCATTGTGAGAAGCACCTTGTACAACTCTGGACGGCGGTCACGGAACACTCCCCAACTTTGCCTTTTCGACTTGATCTGCTCAAGATCGAACTTTTCCACAAGAACAGCTTCCGTTTTGTCATCAGCCTCAGCCACAATTTCACCAGTTGGTCCTGTCATGTCACAAGAAAAGAAAAGTATTGGAGAATGTATCTACTCTTCAAATTGTATTCTATATATCCAAACTTTGAAGTTAATTTCATTTGAATCAGTTTAAAGTGGTACCAGCAATGAAGGAGTTCCCATAGAAAGTGATCTGACTTGGTCCATGCTCAGTTTCAATCACTTCCTTCCCTATGCGATTTGAAGCGACTAGAGGCACCTGAAACCAAATATATATTAACATAAAAAATGATTAATTATTGGGAATATGACTGCCTAATCTAACCACACAAGCACATCTTGGCAAGTTACAAGAAGAAAGATGGAAAACAAAAAAAAATAGATACGCATAGCAATTTGATAAGACACTCATGAAAATGAAAACTAAAGTGTTAAAGACCTAAACAGCTTACCACGTTGGCTCCAGCATGCCCTTGCATGACTCTCCTCCAATGATCACGCGAATCCAAACCCTGGTCTTGGGGTTCAGAACCAATGGCGGTGGGATAAAACAAAACTTCAGCACCCTGTAGAACCATAGCTCGAGCTGCCTCAGGAAACCACTGATCCCAACATATTGCTGAACCAGACATTCAACCAAGACTTGAGTTATGATGTTCATCAAGTGACAAAGAAAAAGCTATACAAAAATACTTTGATAGAGTATCTTACCTACTCCAATCTTTGCAAACTTTGTCTGGAAAACCTATTGACACACCAACTTGAGAAGTGATCAATCATGTTAATCAAATATCAAAAGAAAGATGTTTCCCTTTGGGGATTGTTCTAGTCAAAACTACCTTAAAGCCAGTGTCACCAGGATTAAAATAAAACTTCTCTTGGTAACCTGAAGGTTCAGAAAAGCTATCAGCAAAAACAGAAGGTAAAAGAAACTCTAGCTATTTTCCAAACTTGACACACTCACCAGGTCCATCAGGAATATGAGACTTCCTATAAATCCCAAGATCAGCCCCATCAGCATCGATAATGGCAATAGAGTTGTAATGTGCATTATTAGCTTCCTCAAAGAAGCTAACCGGTATCACGACACCCAACTCCTTTGCCAGATTCTGCATCCTGTGTAAGTAATTATCCAACCATCACATCACACTATATAATCAGATACAATCTCAAAATGATGAAAGTACTTAAGAATATCAAATAAGCTGTGACCTTGCAATGGTAGGATGGTTCTTGTAAGGCTTGGCTCGCTGAAAGAAATCCTCTCTTTGAGCTTGACAGAAGTAATATCCCTCAAAAAGTTCCTGTTTTGATGATGTTAAAGTGATCAATCACATATATTCTATTTGTTTCTAAGTGATGACAAATCCAAATTGAAAAACTATATAGCATATAAGTCGAAATGAATCTGAGAAAGTGAATTTTGAAGACCTGAATAAGGACGATGTTTGCTCCTTTAGCGTGTGCTTCTCTGACCAGCCTGCATAGATTTAATTGGAATGATGAAAACGGAGAAAGCTGTTTGTATCATCAGAGCTTGGAGGGAGAGAGAGAGGGAACCTTTCGGCGGCGGCGACGTTGGAGGAGATATCGTCGGAGCAGGAGAATTGAAGAGATGAAACGACCACTTCTCGCCTTCTTCCTTCCATCTCCACTGCTCTCTCTTTCTCTGTACTTTCTCTCTCAAGGAATTAGCGGGTGAGTGAAAGAGGCGTAGCTGATTCGGTGACTGTCACTTGGAGAGGTAAGAAAAGGAATGAGAATATTTACCTTTTTCCGAGTCTTTTTCCACTTTTTATTCGTTTATATTAAGTAGAGAGAATTAAGCAAATGCCCAAAATCGAAACCCATATTAGGCGAATACACATCTATTATATTAAAATAGAAGCCATGACTCATTTCATGTATGATATTTTAGTTTGGACCATCTTTATAATTTTATAAAATTTTACATAACATTATAATATTTTTTCATATCTTTAATTTTTGTTTGAAATACAAATAAATAGTTTTAAGAAAATTCTAACAAAATCTTTTAGAATCTTTTCAAGATATAGTTTCAAAAATTATTTGATTAAAATTTTAAATTATCATAAAATATAATTAAATTTTTAATTCATTTTTTATTTATAAATTAAAATTAAAATTATGTAAAATACTTTTAACAATATCCCAAAACTTTGTTTATGTATTATGTAGGTCCAATTTAATTTACTTTTTACATATATTTTGAATTTAGAAATAAAACAAAATATATAAATTAGTAATGTTACATAATAATATTTTTAAAAATTGTTACAAAAAGACAAATTTATAAATTTTATATTAATAATATTATAAGTCACATAAAAATTATTATAAAATTAGATAACATACATGTTCAAATTATATTTATATATTGATAAATTTTATTATATAATTTCACATATTTTCGTATCAATATACCCGCACGGTTGTGCGGGTCGAAATCTAGTGAATCTTATAAGAGAAGTCACAACCTAGATTCATGTGTGATTTTTTTAAAAATGTACTATTCCTTAAGAAGATTATGAAGATTATCAAATATTACATAATTTAATGATAATATCTTTAAATATCTTTATTTTTCTATTTGAATACAAATGAAATAAATTCAACAAAATCTTTTTGACATCTTTTTAAATTGTATTTCCATAATATTATCCCATATATTTATCTTTTATTCGAAATACAAATGTTTTTGTTTAAGATATTAAAATTTATCTAGATAGCATTATATATTCCTAAATCCTAAATAAAAAACTATATATTAGAGTTTAACCCACACAACTTTTTTTTTTAAATATAACACTTTGATAGTATTATAAAAAAATTAAATATATGATTTACATTTAATGTTATATATTATATAACTCTATAATTTAGTTTTTTAAGTTTTTTATTCTTCATTATTAATATATAGTAATTTGTTTTATATATTTTAATTTATATTCTTATTGATTTTTATTACTAAATAATATATTTTTGAGTTTGATACATAAATTATAATTTAAAATAATTAAATTATAATCTTATTTAACATAGAGTTTTAATTTCTGGAATTTTCATACAATACATTTTAAAATTTATTTAGATACACTATAGATAAATATTTGTTAGTGATAATTTATATTGTTTTGTTGTGTTTAAAAATGATACTTTAACATCTATTATTTTAGTATTTTGCACGATTTTATAAGTAAATATATTATTATTTATTAATAATTTTTTTATAAATTATAAATAAAAAGAAAACCTGCACGGTTGTGCGGGTTGAGATCTAGTTGACATTAAAACAACTTTTCTTACAATTTGGTTGGTGTTGGACGAAAATGCCCTTCTGAATCCTATTGCTTATATCTGACACTCTCTCTCCAACAATTCTTCCTCTTTTTCTTTAAAACACACTTTTTTCACACATCTCTTTTTCATATTCATTTCTTTCTTTTTACACTATTTTTCCTTTATTTTTTTTCTCATCTACAATTTTATATGTAAATGAATTTTAAGTTTACTCATATTAATAGAGAAATGAAACTTCAAGAATATTTATTTATTAACACATAATACTTAATGCATGTATTGACATCTACAACATTTATTAACAACTAACATCTCTGTTAACACTTATAATACATGTCTTGTTAACAGCTAACACATCTGTTAACATTTACAAAATTTGTTAACAGTTAATGCACCTGTTAATATATCTGGTACATGTATTTGTTAACAGCTACCACAATTGTTTACATCCACATTATTTGTTAACAGCTAACATCAGTGTTAACATCTTTGGCGATTTAAAAAAAATATGTCACAAATGGTAACTCTAGAAACTATATGTTAAGATACTTATTTGATATCAAGCTCAGTGTTATTTGTAATGCGTTAATAAAGATCTTGGCTGTAACTTTAACAAATATAATAAACATAGATATAATATTTTCTTTAAGTCGAATAACATTAGAAAACATACAAATGAAAAAAATTAGAAAAGTAGATGAGATAAAACTAGGAAAAACAAGAACAAAACGTACAGCAGATTTAAAGAGGAAATGAGGGAAAGAGAAATAATAAAAGAAGAGATGAAGGAGAGAGAGAGAGAGAGAATTAAAAAAAAATGTTTTAGAAAAATTCATTAGGATGAAAGAGCTACATGAGTAGAAGAAAAGAGAATGAAGGGCAATCTGGTCAACAAATCTGAAAAAGTCACATTAGGTGTAACCTCTAATTAAAGGTCCCAATATGGTGTCTCAGCATCTCTATTAACTAACCGATGGAATACAAAATTTTACACTTATTTAAACCACAACAAAGAAGTTTACTAACATCAAGAGTCAATACTAATATCTTTGTTGTAGTTTTCATCCCATCAAACACAAGTTCTACCACCCAAAAGAAACTGGTTCTTAAATCTCCTAAAATTTAACACAAATTTGAGGTAGATTGGATCATTCCGGTTTGAGTATTTTGAATTGTTTTCAGTTAGTTATTTGTGACCATTACTTGATAATTTTACTTATTTTAAACTGGACAATTTTACTTATTTTAAAGTGTTTTGAATATTTTATAAGATTAAATTTAAAATTATTTATTTATTTAATAAATAATTTTGATTCTAATAACTTCAGATATCTATTATACTAGGTAGTAATCCGCGTCGGATAAAATATCTATATAAAAGTTGAAATTATATATTTTAATTATGCATAACATAGTATATTTTTACATTAAACGATATTATCAGTTATTAAATGTTAAGGATATAATCAGTTTAAGAAAGCCATGACTTGATACTAAATAATACAATACAAACATAAGTTTCTTTGGATCATATGTGGGTTTACGGTTTACACTATTTGTTGATTCCTATTTTTTTGTTTTAAAAAAAAAATCTCCAAATAAATGAAAGATCATTCCTCGAGAAAAGAAAGCCAAAAAAAAGATTTAGTGTTCTATTTAATTTATCTTCTTTCTTTCACCTGAGAAATTTGATTTCTATTATAAACAAAAAAGTATCAAATCGTTTTTCAGTAAGCTTTCCTATATAATCTCAATTCAGTGAAATATTCATAAATGGATCTTCGAATTATGTATATGCTAAGACATTCACAGCGAACGAGCTCACATGTTTGTGGTTTTCTCCAACTGTAGGTGATTCATTGAAGCAAAGGTGAGACATCAGAAAAGTAGACTGGTTAATTTATGCCTCTGTTGATTTTATTCTACTGACTTTGCGAGTTTATTTTTACCGAAATATTTAGATCCAGCGACATATCGAAAAAAATTGTTTTGTGCATGTTCGTGATTATCTTCAACATAGGTGCAGACAGTGTATACCAACTACTTATATTATCCATCCAAGTCCTCGTTGAGATGATGATGTCGTCCTCATCGAGATGATGCTGCTGTCCTCGTAGAGATGATGCTGCCAAGCCATATCTTCTTCCATTCTTTAGGAATAGCTTTTAGATACTTTTAAATGTTGCTGTCCTTGTCAAGATTATGCTGCCATCCGGTTTTCGTCCTAGGGTTTCTAAAGAACGTGAGTGCTCTGCTAAACGAATGCAGGCAGGTATGGAGAAAAAGAAGGTCATCTAATGCAGAGCTCTCGTCGTGTCGAAGATGGAGACAGTCGCATGCTTATATCGCTTGCTCGGGAAGAATACTACATTAACCACTTATGCTTTACAGTGAACATCTATCGTCAACACAAAGATTACCTCTTCATTGCATCAACAGAACCGAGTTGTCTCTCAACGGATCTCGCTACATAATGGCGAAATATCACATGGATTCCCCGGTTATCGAGAAAGAAGGAAGCTTTGTCCTAAGAACGGTAGCCAGTCAAAGATGAAGGTTTTCACGTAATATTGTTTGCCGAGAAAATAACGATCGTATGAAAGTTCTTTCATCCCGGCAAGGTATGTAAATACAATTCCGGTTGTGCTATATATTAAGAGATTTAAATAATTCTCGGCGTTCATTTTTTAATTGTTTCGTTTAATTGTAGTTGCATTTCTTGTTCAGAGACCCAAGTGTGTAATCTGATTTTTCCTTTTTGATGGTTAACACAATCAAGATCCAAGAAGTCGTTATATTTTACTGGTTTTGGTTTAAATTCTTGATATTTTTCGAGTATTCCCATTTTGGATCTAAAGTATCCTCGTTTATTTTGTAACTATCGTTAATTTTAATGTTTGGTTATTGATCAATAATTTTTTGTTTACTTGTTCTCTTTCTACTTGGTTTAGAAAAGGAATAGATAATTCCTCTTCTGATGAAAGAAGAGTAATCGATTATTGTTTCGTTTTGTTCAAGTTGTTGAGGATTGTTTATTAGAATAATATATTTTAGGATTTCTCTTAATTTTTCCATATGTTCGTTCATTATTTCTTGATATCAATACTCCCCCCCCCCTTTTCTTTTTTTCTTATATTAGTTTCAGTTTAGATTCAAATTAAAATTATATTAGTTTCAATTTTTTTAATGCTGGATTTACAAACTATATGAAAAATATTATGGATCCACTCTGGACGGTACTCCTTACGCCATGCTGCAGATCTCTTGTCAGTCTTTTCTCCTTTAATTTGCATAATTTCGCAATTTCTAGGATTCGAAATCCAGACCT